TTCATCACTTTCTCTCTTATTCGAATTATCTATAGCATGACAAGATCTGATGTGGATTGCCTACGTATCACGACGCCACGTAAATCAGATCATTACGTAGTTCAGAGGATAAATATAAAATAAAAGAAAGAAACATTTTTTTGGGTTTTCAAATTTTTATTAAATAAAAACTTCTGATTTTGCTCTATTACAAAACTCCATCATACAGACTTTAGAACAAAAAAAACAGACTCAAAGTAGACTAACAGACTCTAAAAGGAAACTGCAATATAGACTCGAAAAGAAAAATCAGGAGTACATAAGTGCCTCCAATACCTCTCCAAGGGCCCGCGGGACATCAATCGGTCTCGACGCGGGCCTACGTGCAATATCTTCTTGGAGGCGATCCATGTCGTCCATTATCTGGCGAACAAAAGTCATCACAGTGGCGAAGAAAGTGGATCTAGTCATATCCTCGCACTCATGGCATTTCATGATGATATAGTTAGCAATTCCTCTAATCCTTTCTCTAATGATGCCTTTCTCTTGGAGTAGGCGTCCAATTTGTTGAGATCTAGCTTCCAGGACTTGGGTGTCCGTATGGCTTTGCTCCTTCAACTGTCGCATGTCCTCTTCCAGTCGGGACATCAATGCATAACAATGTTCCCTCTCTGCCTTGAAGTTCATTGTCTGTTGAGCCATTTCATTCTCGAGGGTAGTTAGCTTTTTCTTTAGATTTGCGACCTCTCTATCATATTTTTCTTTTAATTGCTGAACAAACCCTGCCCGTCCTTCTGCGTTCTTTGCCAACTTTGCCCGGGCTCTTGCCAATCTACCTTCAGACTTTTCCAAATCAGTCCCACACTCACATACTTTCCTCCTGAGACCGTTTATAAGTTTTTCATCTGTTCGGTTCCTTCCCGAGTTTTCAGCAGCTATCTTCATCCTTTAAATCTAGGCTTGGAGGGCTTTGTTTTCTCGGGCCAACTTTTTCTTTTCTCCTTCATCAGCAGCGGCCTACACACTACTATCAATTTTAGGATCTCTAATTTTCCCTTCTAATTTGCTTATCGTAACCCTGTAGCTTTTCTCTTTTGCTAACCAATTCTATTGTTCTTGTGTCCCATCAGTGAACTGTTGTACGTGGGGCCTTTTGGCGGGCCGTTCGGGCTCTTTATGGACTTGAACCCCATACCAGACCATGTAGCTATGCTCTACCTCACCCTTGGACAAATCCCGTGCTCGCGTCTATGGCTCCAGAAACCTACATTGATGCCATATCTAGAGAACCTTTTCTTCCGGGAATGTAGCTTTTGGACCTAGTTCAATGACTTGTCGACTCAAATCTTCATCATGAGGGACATTTTGGTACCTACCCAGTTGGCGCCGAATCCTGTGTGGAGCATACGGCTGAATACTCCGAAGACCCATTAATAAAAGAAAGCACATTCTGGCCGACATATAGATACCTTCGTTGATCGGGAGCCAACCGAATGTCCAGCCAATTTTGCTTGTAGTCAAAGAACTCAAATGTGTGAACCATGCCTCTGTACCTTCTGGAAACTCATGACTATCCACCCGATTTTCGTGCTCTTCAATGCAGTTAAGACCAATCAGATCATAGTTAATGTACCCCGGACGATGGCAAAGCTGTTCTTCCATCCAAAGTTGTAAAAGCATGTTGCAACCCTCAAAAAAAATTCCCCCAGCTTGACAAATAGTTAAAGCTCGGTAAATTTCTGCTAGGATCATTGGTATAATAGTGCCATTAGCCTTTTTATCATGAAATCAGCCACTCCTGCGAGCCCCAACTCTATATATCCATCACTCCCTGAGCAGATTAGAGTGCCTAGGAATGCCACTACGAAGGCCAATCCCCGACATGTTTCCCATTTGCCTTTATTCCCTTGATGACTTAAAACGGTATCCGAAGCCTCAAAACTGTAGGGGTCCCTATAACGACGGTATAGGAAGTAGAATGTGCAGAATCCCTCAGCCAAATTTCCATCTTTGACTTCCCGGCTAATACTCAGAAGGTCCAGAAACTTGTGAGGGGTTACAGTTCTTAGTGCCAGTGGATATCGGCTACTGAGATTCCCATTAAGGCCAGCATAGCATGTCATCTCCTCAAGTGTAGGGGTTAACTCAAAATTAGAGAAATGGAACACATTGTGCGTCAGGTCCCAAAACGGTATCAAAGCTTCAGTTATGTCTACCTTTGGTTTAATCTTCAAGAGACCGGTGAGCCCACCTAAAACTTTTCTCGTGGCACCTATGCTAACCTCCCCCAGGTCATTCCACCACATATGGAGTCCTATCGAGATTTCCTCTACAACTTTGAAAAGTACATTTTCAATAGTACTCATCGTGCACATTTATTTAAAGTGATCGGTTAAAAACTCATGATTTATTTTGACCCAAAAGGAAGATTATTATTTTATTTTATTTATTTATTCCAAAATTGCAACTCAGACAACTTGCTCAAAACAAAGCACCTTTGCAAATATGGCCCTTCAGCACTACAGGAAGAAAGATTTTAGGGTTGTGTTTGCTAATTTTCCAAGAATTTAAAAAAGACCATAGGTGGCTATTCTTGCAAAAATAGCTTTCTGACGCCTTGTCGGGACACTTCTGGCTATTTAGACAAAAACGGTATCACCTAACTTTATTTATGACAAAAATGACAACGTTTCATAATTTTGGGTTATTTTTGCGAAAATGGGGTTGGACCCAATGAGGGTTGCCTATGTATACCATATCCGGTGAGAATCAAACCTGCGTAGTTCGGGAAGTTTTGATGCAACGGAAAAACATGAAATATTTTGAAACAATTTTCCCTTCTTTTCTTTTTCTTTTTCTTTTTATATTTTTTTTAAAAAAAATCGGCAGAGTTTCGGTATATTTTGGACACCAGAGCGGGTAATTATCTCTCTCATACCTCAATTTGATTTTTTCAATTTTTCTCCCTTATTCTAGAAGTCGGTCAACATGCAATCCGAAGTAAATAAGTGTACAGATAACAAGTAAAATGTATCAGGATAGTCTTTTGATTTCGGGTGCACCTATCCTAGACGGACCCAACCCCTGTGTTGAGTCCCCAAAATCAAATGCACGTGATGCAAATAAGCGTTCCTACTAGGGATCCGGCATGAGGTTATGTTATTCTAGGATTAGAAACCTGGGTGTATTTGTTCTAGACCTGGCTTACCCGAGCGGATAGCTCGAGCCAAGGGGGCAGCGTACCGGGAATACAGAAGCTTCACCGGCTTTGCAACTTGTCTGAACCTCATTCTAAAACTGGGGTATGACTCTAACAGAAAAAAAGTCGCACGAAGTGCACACTTCCCAGATGATTTAGAAGACTCAGAGAGAAGAGGGTTTTGTAACAATTTATATACAATCCAAACAATATCAAAGCGGTAAAAAGCAGCATTTAGCACATTAGGCTCAAACATATAAAATCAGATAATAAATAAAGCCAACTATAACAGTTATTCTAAGCTCAAATTCTTGAACCCTAAACCAAAAGTTCTAGGTTATGTCCCCAGCAGAGTCTCCAGAGTTGTCATACCTCCTTTTTACCCGAAAAGGGGTATAAGGGAGTTTTTCCACTTTAAGTGACATTAATCGAAATGAGATTATTTTATTTTAGAGTCGCCATTTGGAATAATTTATGGTGACCCAAGTCACCGGTTTATTTTAAATTTCAAATCGAGGAAAATAGACTTTATTTAAAAGTCTGCAAAACCAGAAAACTAGGTAAGGAATTCTATTAACCCGGGAGAAAGTGTTAGGCATTCCTGGGTTTCGTGGTTCTAGCACGGTCGCTTAGCTATTAATAATTGGCCTCATTATCTGATTTATTACATGTTTTAAAACCTATTGTGCATTTTTTAACTTTATAACCGCTTTTATTTATTTATGGAGTTATTTTTTGGAGCAAGTCACGATTGTCGTACACTTGCCGTTTTGGAACACATTGCAAACCGCGCTACATAAAATGCACCCGCAATTTATGACATATTTATTTTATTATTGTTTGAAGTTGATATGATCGGGTCACATGAAATGTGCACCCGAATTTGGGAATTAGGTATCACGACTATGCCACAATAACCGTACTCATAGTCATGATGATTTATTATAAACATGCCTAAAGCAAATTACGAATGTTTAAAGTATTTTCTACACTAGTTACGAATGTTCAAAGTATTTTCCACACTAGTTTTGGTATTAGTGTGAGGGCCATAGATTGTGAAATTCAATTGTGGATGGCACGCCTCAATTTATCTTGAAATCTATAGGACCACGCTCAACTGCTAGTAATTCATTAATTAACCCCATCATTTGCAATTTTCGCGGAGTAAACAGAGCTGGACCCATGAGGTTCCCATATTCGACTTTATTTGCATGTGTTATATATAGAAGAAACAATTTCAATCACAAAGTCAAACTGTTCATACAACCAACAACGTGGAAAAATAACACCTTAAAAGCCCAATAATTTCAATTGAATGTCCAAATCCTCTTTCAAGATATTAGTGTTTGGCCCAATTAGTAAGTAATCCAATTACTCATTAAACTTTGAGCCCATATTCTTAATACTGATAACCATTCCAGACACACTAACAGTGAAGCAACCAACTTACGTCTTAACATCAAAAGAACTAACCAAGGAATTTAAAGCATGCTAGTTAGCCATGACTAAAAATAAGCAATTAGACTAAATATTATCAACTATAGCCAGTGAGACAAAACTAGTTGTGGATATTAGTAATACAAATATATTACAAAAAATGACAAACAGTTATGAAGATGTACACGTCTTTTCTTTCTTCTTTTGCCTTTCAACTATTGATATCAAACTAACTCATTACATAAAAAATATTGCAAAGCTATAATGTTGTACTCATATACTAAGGAGAGACGACCAAAATGGGGAACGGCCCAAAGACAAGCCACTTTCAGCACTTGAATAAACATGAGAATCTCCAGAAGATAATTTTATGATAATGCGCATCCCTTAAGCAACAGAAGGTAAGATAAAACACAAAACAAAAATGCAACAAGATTTAATCAAACAGAAAACGAACCTAAAAAAATAATCTGTTTACTACATCAAAGTTGATTTTCAAGCTTTTTATACACTCCACTAAATGAAGCAAGTATTCAACACATGTCTTTAAACAACATTACCCAAATAGGAAAATCGTGGATATAAGCAAAACGAACCAACTAATTAACATAGGATAAGATATTCAAATTTCAGATTTGCATTTATTGACTTGAAACTAGGTAATTACAAAATGAAAAACATACCTAAATGTGACTAAGTCAGTTAAATAAACCAAAATGAAAGTCTGAAATGAAGTGTAGACTTGGCAGCAAAACCTAAAACTTCAGTTTCAAAAGGCCATTCCTCTTCGAAATCCCAGAAGAAAACTTGAAAACTAAAGAAGAAGCTTCAAATTCTGAAATAATTTTTTGAGTGAGATTTTTTGTGTTGCCTTCTGTCGTGTCTGTTCTCTCTTATCCTTTAACCTATAATGTGTATTTATAACACTCTTTTTAGGGCATCAAATCAGAATTTCTAAATTCAAAACCTACCCTTAAGAAATCTGTTTTTTGCGCAATCTTACCTAAGTTTGTACTATTTACTCATTCAATCCCCCACCCTCACCTTCCTAGAACTTTCCTAGGTAGTTATGAGAATATTCCTTGAGCCTAAATACCCTAAATACCCTTACCAACACTGTTATTTACCTTTCCAAATTAAGACTACCCCCTCTCGGACAAGAAATTGGGCCACAAAGCCCACTGAAATCTTACCAAATTTCAGGGGTCTTTGGACTATGGCCCTTGGTTAAAGAAAAGTAAAAGGAAGAGGAATACATAGATAGTAGACAAAAATAGAAACATAATAAAAAAATACACTAATAATAAAAAATAAAATAAATAAAGGAAACGAAAAATACCTAATCAAAAAGAACAGTGAGGCTAGAAATAATGAAAAATAAACAAGAGATGAATTTAACACCAAATTTCGGCCTTGCATGGGTAGATTTAATCAAAACATCTTTGTTGAAACAAGAATATATCCCAAACTAATTTTTTGACTAGCCATGGAAATAGTGACACAAGTATTGGTCAAAAATTTCTAGTGGCTAATACTTTGTGTCACCATTTTCATTTCTTGCCGGAAAAAAAAAGAGAGTGTTCCTAGATCTAAAATTTGAAAAGTACGGGTGTTTATTTGGACAAGATAATGATGGATTAGGGGTGAGGAGGTGTTGGTGATTATGGGTGAGGCGTTTGAGTGGGTTTAGGACTGTCTACGGTGGCACCGTCGGCGGATTGGAGGTGAAGGGCTTGGGGGCGGCTTCGGTTGGGGACTTAAGAGAAGATGAGAGAATGGAAAGTGTCTTTAGGGTTTGGGGGGGGG